AAGAGGCCTCCCCACTGGTGAAAGGGTGATCTCCTTCAGTTGATTGGGAGTAGCTGCTGAATCGAACCAAGGGTTGTGAGAGTGAAGGACAGAAGTCATCATAGCACTGTTTACAGTCAACTTCTGAGTAACTTGAACTTGTAACTTGGTGGAGCTTGCCTATCTTTTCTATTCATGGGTTCTGGGGGATACATTTAAATCTAACTTTTTCTAGGATACTAATTTTCTAGGATGCAGACTCTGTTGGGGGACGCCCTGACAAGTCTATAAACAAAAATCCAGGACTGCAGCCTGGTGTGACAGTGAAGTCAATAAAACTCAAAGCTATTTTTTAACCCCCTTTACTACCTACCTTCTTCTTCTTTCTTCTTCTTTCCTATCTTCAGCTTTGTGAATGACATGGATTCATAAAGTTGAAGATGTGAAAGAAGAAGAACAACAGTATTTTTTTTCCTTCTGCAGCTCTACTTTAGGGCCTGCTGAAGGATCGGGTTCCAGGGGTATTCCACTTTAGGGCCGGCTCATGCTTCCACTCTTTTTTTCTTATATTCTTGTTATTATATTCTTGTTATTATATTCTTGTTATTATATTCTTGTTATTATATTCTTGTCTTATTGACTGGTACTGAGTGAGAGCGCTACTGCCAGCTTAGTAGGTGACTTGACTAGGCTGACTGCCTGCATTGACCACTACTGACTGAGTTGACTTGTACTGCTACTGCCAACTTTAGGGCTGACTTGGGAAATGAGTTGAGGTCATAGAGACACTTTTCAGTTCTAACTGCCCAGTTTACACTTAGTGTTGAAACTCAATGGCTGGCTCACAAATTGACAAATACTCGCAAACACCAGAGTCTTTTGAAACAGTATTAGGGTTATTTCTCAGTGAGTTCTAAAGCTTTCAGGATGACTTCTATATGGTTAGAAAGGTATTTCAAGGGCCTACAATCTGGTCTTCAACTGAGAATGTGTTGACTACAAAATTAGTGACTTTTACTACAAAATACTCTGGCAGTACATGTTACATAGTGATAATTTTTGATGACTTGTATATGGTTAGAAAGGTCTTTCAAAGGGCTATAACTTTCCATTCAACTCATTTTAGCTTTACTACAAATCTATTGACTTTTGTTACAACACACTGTGGCAGTTGTTGACTGTATTGACTCAAATTGACTTGGGCAGATTTTGGTCTGGGTTCATAGCGGCACTTTTGAGACCTAACTGCTCAGTTTAAACTTTGGCTTAAAGTCAAAACTTGCCGCACAAAATGCAATATACTTTCCCAATCCAGAGTCTTTTGAAACAGTAATAGGGCTTTATCTCAGTGAGTTCTGAAGCTTTCAAAATGGGTCATATATGGTTAGAAAGGCATTTTGAAGGCCTACAATCTGGTCTTTAACTGAACACATGTTTGCTACAAATTGACTGAGCTTTATTAGAAAATACTGTGGCAGTAAGTGTTACACTGTTGAATTTCTTGATAGTTTATATATGGTTAGAAAGCTCTTGAGAAGGACTACAACTTTGTATTCAACTCATTGTCATTTTCCTACAAATCCACCGACTTTTGTTTGTACATATTGTGGCAGTTATTGACTGTATTGACTCAAATTGACTTGGGCAGATTTTGGTCTGGGTTCATAGCGGCACTTCTGAGACCTAACTGCCCTGTTGACACTTTGTCTCCAGGTCAATACAATGCAATATACTTGCAAACTCCAGAGTCTTTCAAAACAGTATTAGGGTTATTTCTCAGTGAATTCTTGTTGGATTGAGATGGTTACTATATGGTCAGAAAGGTATTTGAAGGGCCTATAACATGGCATTCAACTCAAAATTTGTTGACTACAAAATGACAGACTTTGACTACAAAATACTGTGGCAGTAAGTGTTACACTGTGATAATTTTTGATGGTTTATATATGGTTAGAAAGGTCTTTAGAAGGGCTACAACTTTCAATTTAACTTTTGTTGGATTGACTACAAATATATATACTTGTGTCAGTACTTATTGCAGCAGTTATTGACTGTCTTGACTGAAACTGACTTGTGCAGCGGCACTTGCTTTTTTTCAAAACAGTAATAGAGCTCTATCTCAGTAAGTTTTGGTTGGATCACAATGAGTCCTATATGGTTAGAAAGGGAATCTCAGGGCCTACAAATCTGGTTTCAACTCAAAATATGTTTCATACAAATTGACTGAGTTTCATCAGAAAATACTCTGGCAGTTAAGGTTACACTGTTGAATTTCTTGATGGTTCATATATGGTTAGAAAGGTTTTTAAAAGGACTACAACTTTATATTCACTTTATGTTTAGTTGATCACAAATCCATTGACACTGCGGCTATTTTGACTCAAATTTGGCAGTGAGAATAGGGCTTTATCTCAATGAGTTCTTGTTGGATTGAGATGGTTTTCATATGGTCAGGAAGGTATTTAAAGGGCCTATAACATGGTATTCAACTCAAAATCTGACTGTAAAATGACTGACTTTGACTAGTCTTTGGAAACAGTATTAGACTCATATCTCTGTCAGTTCTGGTCGGTTTGGGATGGTTTCTATATGGTTGGAAAGGGAATTCCAGGCACTCAACACAGGTTTGATACAAATTGACTAAGTTTCATTAGCACTTACTGTGGCAGTTATATTGACTCAAATTGACTTGTGCACATTTTGGTGTGAGTCCATGGGGACACTTCCAGGACCTGCCAGCTTATACTGACCGTCCAAAGTCAATGATTGACTTACAAAATCACCAACATTTCAAAACAGTATTAGGGTTTCTGGTTGTATGGAGATGGTTCTTATATGGCCAGAGAGGTATTCGAAAGGACTAAACATTGACACTGGAAGGTATTTTAGTGCTAGTTGATAGTGACACTTATTTACTCCCCTGGTAACACTTTCTACTTTCAAAACAGCATTTGGGCTGTATCTCAGTCATTTCTGCAGCTTTTAAAATGGGTCTTGGACGGTTAGAAAGGTATTTCAAAGGCTTATAATCTGATGTTCAAATGACTTGGCGGTAAGGACTACAACAGATTGATGCAACTAAAAGGCAATGCTTGAGTCACAAAATGCAAGTCTTTCAGTACAGTATTCCGGAGCTTTCAGAATGGATTGAAAGCCCAACCAACTTAAAACGTGCTAGATACATGGTTTGGGATTTCAGTTCAAACTGAACTGGACTGACGTTCGGTGAAGGCCATCCTGGCCCTCAGTTTGGCCCGGTCTGGCTTTTCGCCAAGAACCAGACTGTTGACTACTTGACTGGATTTTAGGGCACTTTGTAACAGATAAAGTGGATTTCTATATGGTTGGAAATGTATTCAACTGGAAATATAGTGGATACAATTTGACATACTGTGGCTTTTGGGCAGATTTTGGAACCAGTTAATAGAGGCACTGATTTGACATAACTGCCTGGTTGAGTCTTTTTGGCATACTTGTAGAAACATCTGACTGAAAATTCACTTTCATGCAGTGGCAGTTAATATTGAGCTGTTAAGTTTTGAGTTCAAACTCAAGTTTCACCCACAAGCAGCTTTGGCTGAACAGACTTGTCTTGTCAGACATTCCAAGTTATATGAAAAATTAGACAAAATTGTTGATTGCACGCCAACCGCTCCAGCTAAGTACAGGGAATTCAGGAATTACATAGACCGATGATATTCGCGCCGTCGGGCAGCGCTTCGGCCCGATCGGACCAGATACGGCGAGGTTCGCCGGTGTGTCGGCTCGAACAGAGCCTTGGGCGATACGGGAGAACGGTGCGGCCGTTCGGCGCGAAATCTTCAGACACGGTAGTGCCATGCTACTACCCTCGGCTGCTGGCCGCGTTTGGCCCGACGCGACGCAGCCGGAGGCCGGCAGCACGGAGGGCGGGTGGAAGTCCGCCCTTGCGCGTGCGGCACAGCCGCTCCATCGGCCGGGCTGAAAACTTCACACGGGTAGGGGACATGTCGTCCCCAACTGCTTGTGCATTTCCAGCCCGATCGGAGCAGCGGCTGGGCGGCGGGCCTCAAGACGGCGGTGCAGACACGCGGCGCCGCACCGCGTCGTGGAGGGCGACGGGACCCGCGACGAGGTGGCGTAATGACGTGGGTGAGTACGTCAGACCTGAAAACACATGCGCTGAGTATTTGAATCGAGAAAACAGCTGAAACCACTCACCGGGGGAAGAATTGGCGATGCGCGACAACGAGAGCGTTGTCTCCCACGAGACTTTCTGGAGTCGAGGGTATGTATGAGCTCTACTCACGCGCGCGCTTTCGAGGAGAACGCGCAGCAGACGGGCCGGAACGCCGCGGGCTTGCGAAAACAGCGGTCGGGCCGCGCAGGGACAAGCGCTGGACCTTTCCGCCTGAGACTTTCAGGAGGCGGAGGGGACCACCGTTCCTCCCGTTCCTGAGCATTTCAGGCCGAACGCGCTAGAATTGCGCCCAGCGCTCTCGAATCTCGGGGGAAGACCCGGTCTTGGCCGAGACTGGCCGAGGTAGCCCGCCGTTGAGGCCTGCGACGCGTCCAACGCGTTCTTATGAGTCCCCTACGACTCCCTCCACGTGGCCGGACGTGGCCGACGGCCGTCGTGGCCTGTTCGCGACGAAACGGGCGGTTTCCGGGCACACCCGGCGCGTTGCCGGCCAGCATCCAGCCGGTGGATCGCCGAGAAAGTCCGGTTTCTTGACGAGGAGGTCGGCGGCTCGTCTCGAGCCCATTTACGCGTTGATCTGCGGTCGCGATCGCGCGCTGTGGCCATTTCTTGCGAAAATTGAGCCCAGAATGGGCAGAAACGGGGCATACGACGATGGTGGAGGCGGGAATGGAAACGGCTAGGTTGTGGACAAACGGGAGCCCAGCGGTGGCCCGAATCCAGCGGGCAGATGGGCCGACAAACACCATTCGAATGACGAGGGAGTGTCGCGCCTTGCGCGTGACGATTTTCGCGACGATCCTACGGCGAGATCGCGCGCGGTGACGAATTCAAGCCCAGAATGGGCAGAAACGGCAGGGCGGAGCGGAGAAGGGAAGAGGCTTCGGGTGGGGTGCTAAAGCCAGTCGTAGGTAGGAGGGAGAGTGTCGGCGTGGCACCAGCAGCCGCGAGAGATGTGTTTGCCGAGCGCCGACGCCGAGTACCGCGCCGGTGTTGCCAGCAAGATAAAGACCAGATTTGCGCCCGGCTGGATTCGCTGCGCGTCGTTGAGCGATTTGCGGTTTGAGGGTGGTGGTGGTTGATAAAAAAGAAGCGCGGGTGACGGCATGCGGCACGTGCACGCCACGTCTTCGTCCCCACACAGCCTCTTCCTCTGCTCTTCCGCGCACAACGGCGGCCCCGCGGGGTGGTTTGCCGCAGACACGCGTCGTCGAACGCCAGCGCGGGCGCGTGCCCATACCCCGCGCGACCTGCCGTCCCTCCCCTTCCTTCTCTCCCCCAGTTGTCGCCGCTCGTTACCCACCACCCGCTAACCAAATGGCCGGCCCACGCCCCGCAGCCTCCCGCTCCTTGCCGTGCTCCTCGCGGCGCTGCTCCTGCTCCCCGCCGTGCTCGCCCACGGCGACCACAAGGGCGCCCACTACGGCCGCAAGCGCACCCGCAACGGCCGCCCCGCCCGCCCCTTCGCCAAGGGCCGCCCCACCGCCAACGTCGGGGCGCCGGCAACGCCACGCCCAAGCCCAGCACCACCGCCGCCCCGCCCCGGCGAACACCCCGGCCCCGCCACCGCCACCGCCGTCCCCGTCCTAGCACCCCGGCCGCAGCCCCGCCTCCGCCGCCGCCTCCGCCTCCGCCACCCCCGCCACCCCCGGGCGCCCACCTCGACGAGCTCCACCCCCCCCCGGCGTCCGCGCCCGACCGGGCCCGCTCCCCCGCCGGGCGCGATCAACGCCGGGCGCGGCCGTCGCGCCCGCTCGTCTCCGCAGCGGACCAGGCGCTGTACCTCAAGTTCCACAACGACATCCGCGCCAACCACAAGGGCGACCCCCTCTCGTGGAACGACACGCTCTCCGCCGCGGCCCAGAAGGTCGCGGACACGTGCGTGTTCGAGCACTCGGGCGGGAAGGTCGGCCCGTTCGGGCGAGAACCTCGCGGGCGGGCACGGGCAAGTACGGGATCGAGAAGGCGATCGTGTCGTGGACGAACGAAGTCAGTGAGTGCCCTATTTTCTTTGCACGTAGGGGTGGGCGCTGACGAAAGCAGAGGACTACGACCCGAAGAACCCGGTGCCGTCGCACTTCACCCAGGTCGTGTGGCGCGGGACGACGCAGGTCGGCTGTGCGCTCACCGTGTGCGCGCCCGGCACGATCTTCGACCCCAAGTTCACGGTGCGTGTCCGGGCCGCGTGTGCCCCCGTGTGCTGACCTCGGCGCCGCGCAGAACACCGCCGAGTACTACGTCTGCGAGTACGCCCCGCCGGGAAACATCATGGGCCAGTTCGAGTGCGTTTCCTGTTCTTTCTCTGGGCTTCCGGGCCTGCTGACGCACCCCCAGCCAGATGGTCTCCGTCTAGGCCAACGCCCGCATTCCCGTTCTTGTTTCCCACGCGCGGGCCTGGACGCCCGCGGTTCTATATCTCTCCATGCCACTGTCTTATCGTATCTATCTTCCTGTTCAATCAACTTGTTACCCCGCACGATCGTCTGACCAACTCGGCGCGGGCGCGGCGCTGCACCGGAGTCACGGCCCACGCGCCGGGGTGGCTCGTCCATCTTCGGTCTCTGTAGGCTAGTCCGCTATATGGCTAAGCATCCTATGCTCGTTCGGGCGTGCCCGCGGGTCTTAGAGACAGTATATGTGTGCTCGATTTTATTATTTTTACTAAATTCAAAATACGTGGCCTGTTCTGTTCTACTTATCTTTCTGGTCGATATTGCGAGTCCCGCAACCCAGCACAGACGGCGCGGCAGAGGCGCAGACGCGGGGTCGACGCGCCCTGGGCATTTGCGCTTGCCACGTTGCGACTCTGTCGAACATTTCTTTGCGTGGCACGTCGTGGGGGGTGGCGCAGTAGCGTAGGTGAGTGTTCTATCGCTGGAAACACCTCCGCTCAGCATTGACATCCACAAACAGCCTGAATTCACTCACCGGGAGAAGATGGAACGTTGTGGAACAACGGCGGCGCCCTCGCGCGGAGATTTGCTGGAGTTGGAGGTGCGTATGGGCCCTCCCCCGGGCGCGCGCTTTCGCGACGAACGCGCGGCGGATGGGCCGGGACGGCACTGGCCGCCAAAAACAGCAGCTGGTTCGCTCAGGGCCAACGACTAGCCCGTTCCGCCTGAAAATCTCAGGGAACGGAGGGATATATCGCCCCTCGCATCCCTGAGAATCTCAGGCGGAACGCGCGAGAAACACGCCCAGCGCGCGCGAGTCTCGGGAACACGCGTCCAACGCCGAGTCTGGCGGATGCAGCGCGTCGCAGTGGCCCAAAACGCGCCGACCAAGTCCCCTGCATCTTCCTCGACATGGCCGGACGCGGCCGAGGGCGTGTTCGGCGCGGAACGGGCGGTTTCCGGCTGTGACGAGGCGCTGTCGGAAGCGGTTCTCGGCACACGGAAGATTCGGGGGTGGTCGCAAAAGGTGACTGGCGTAAGTTCTGTATTGACCAAAGTAACTAACTACTACAGACAGTTCTTATATACGGTGGGGAAGACGTGGGAAAGTAAGGAAAATAAGCATATGGCATAGATTGATGTTGACATACGACATGATATGTGATAAACATGATTGGAGCCGTCACATACGCCCTCCAGGCCGACGCATGCGGCGGACTCAAGCAGGACCCATTACAGAGTCTCCACCACTTCCAGGTCCATCCGAGCTGGAGTTTGAGCCGGAAGCACCAGGCGGCTGAGCCTGCGGGCCTGATGCAGCCGCAGCAGCACGCGCCGCGGCCTCGGCGTCTTCGGTTCCTTTCGCGCGCTTCGGCCCGGAGAGTTATCAACTCTCGGGCGGCATTACCGGTCGGGTAAGGTGCGGATCTCTTGGCCTTCCGGTTCTCCTCGGCGCGCTTTCGGCGCAGTTGCATTGCGAATAAGCTGGTCCTGGAAAGCTTGGTAAGCTTCTTCAGGCACCAAGCGCATACCATCGGGCACGAAGTTGCTCGATGATATCAGGGGTAACCTGTGGTGTGTCAGCAAGCAAGACACAGTCTGTCAGACTGCGACTCACGCGCCAGCTACCCTCGTTAGGGAGCTCTCCGGGGTTCTCGGAGTACATAACGCGGCCGGATGACAGGTCCGCGTGGGCCCAAACCTCGCCCGGCCTGGTCGCGCTGAGTCAGCGCCGTGACAAACTCCGGGTAACCGATCGGAGGGCTGGGATAAGGAGCCTCCGAGGTGTACAGGAGGCGATTATATGCGATATAGGTCGCCACTTGCTGCGCCGAGACAACGCGGCGCTCGCGGTTGGGACCACGGTGGTTGTAGACGATGAAGTTGGTGAGATCAAATCGCTGGATGGCGTAGTGCTCGTTGTTCCAGCGCTTATAGCACTGTTCGGCGTTGTTGGGGTCGCCGATGAGGGCAAGAAGAGCTTCCGCCATGGTATAGCTTGCGGCACAATGCTCGAGAGGCTGAGGAGATGGAGAAAACATCCCAGAATCCTTGCCTGTTAAGTACTCAACGTTCAGCTGCGTCGAGCCCGCAAACATCTGTAAGTCATCGGCCGGCGGCCGGCCAGCACCATATGGCAAATCTTTAATGTTGCCAACGCCCAGCGCGTCCAGGTAGGCCGACAGGGCGGCTAGACGGGCTGCCTGGTGATAAGGCATCCATGTCCGATCGCCGGATTTCCATAGCACTTCAAACAGGGCCTCCGACCGGCGGCCGTAGTGGCCGACAATGGACTCCACGGCCCATTCGTCGGTCTCGGCCTCGGCGGAGACTCCCAGTTGATTCTCCAGTCGCCCCGGGAAGCGACGATCGTCGTTTGGCACATGTATGCGGAGTAACGAGGCATGAAAGACGTCATGCACTCCGCGTTGCTTGAGGTTGCTAGGCAGTTCAATCTGGAATGAACTGTTGCCAAAGTCTCGGAGAATCAGGTAAGGCCCAATAAATTTGGGGATTAGCTTACGAGCAAGTCCCTTCTCGAACTTGATATTCTTGCTCGACAGGTACACAAGGTCACCTGCTTCAAATGGCGCCTCTTGGCGCTTTCGATTGGCGTTGCGTGTCTGCTTCACACGCGCGGCGATCATGGCGTCATGCGCGGCCATGATTGCAAGTCTGCGCTGAAGCGCGAACTTGGCGATACCGGGGTATTCCCGGGTCCGGTCCGAGTCCCAAAGTAAGGAACGGGGCATCCGGCCTGTGTTCAAGAAGAACGGGGAGTAGCCGGTGGACTCCGAGCGGGCAGAGTTCATCGCGAACTCGATTGCGGGAAGCTTCGCAACCCAGTCCCGCTGTTTAGGACCAACACACTGACGCAGCATTTGTGTAACTGTGCGGTTAGCACGCTCGGTGCCGCCATCCGACTCAGGATGGTAGGCACTGGACATACGGAGCTTGGTCCCTATCAGCTCGTGAAGCCGGCGCCAGAAGGTGCTGGTGAAAAGCACGTCACGGTCGCTGACGATGTATCGCGGCAGCCCATGCAGCTTGTAGATGTGTTCGAAGGCGAGCTCCGCAATCTGTCGCGCGGTATAGTTGATTCGTGATGGAATCAAATGCACCATCCCGGTCAAGAGGTCAATGACGACCGTGATAGAGTTGAAATGTCCATCGCGGTTTGAGGACTCGGGCAACGGCCCGACAAAGTCGATACCGATGCATTCCCAAGGGTGAGTCGGTGGAGACAGCGAGTGCAGCAGACCATAGGGCCTTTGGTTGCTGGGCTTGCTTCGCTTGCAGGTCATGCAAGTCTCGCAGTAGGCGCGAGTGTCGTCAACCATGTCCTTCCACCAGACATGGTCGCGCAGGTAATCCAGAGTCTTGCGCGTTCCGAGGTGCGCCAAGACCGAATGAGCCTCCGAGATGACAATCTCCCGGAGATTCCGGCCCTTATACGTCAGCCGAGGGATGCACAATAGCCTGCGGTCGTCGTCTTGGAGGTAAATCAAGCCTTCATGAAGCTGGAAGTTGCGGAAGGCCTTGGGTGTGGCCAGAATCTGCTTGAAGAACGGATCGTCGCCATACTGATTAGCGACGAGCTGCGTGATGTCGAGACCGTGCCAGCCGGAGTTGACAACTTCCAAGAGGGAGTCGTCCATACGCGAGAGCTCGGTGTCAAGCTCCGAGTCGAGGACGTCGTGAGTAAATGACTGTGGGAGTGATTTTCCCGATTCGGCTGACTGATTGACAGGTGGCGGTGAGCCGGGCTTGGCTTTCGCGTCCATGTCAGGCGACGAGGGGCTCGACGACGCGTCTACAGCTGGTGGGACGCGTTTAATTTCGCGTTTCTGGTGTGTACCCCCGCCCTCCTTTGGGGACTTACGGGTTTTGGGACCCAAACTCACGCCCTCCGCAGTGGGGTTACCGGCAGAGGTGCCAGCGTCGGCGGGTCGTTTCTCAGCCTCCCGCGCTGCCCTGGTCATTGACCGGGTGACTCTGTCGCTTGACAGAGCCTCCGCTTCGCGCCCAGCAAACACGGGCATGGTAATTTCATGCTCAATCGCGATGCTCATACCCTCAATTACATCATGATAGGTGTACTCTGACGGTGCTCGAACCGTCCCAGGCGCCTCGTTCGAGTAGAGGCGCGAGAGGGCATCAGCGAGGACGTTCTCGGTCCCAGGTATGTACTTTATTTCAAAGTCAAACGAGGATATCTTCTCAATCCATCGTGCTTGTCTCCCAGACAGGTTTTTCTGGTTCACGAGATGAATCAGACCTTTGTGGTCGGTTATCCACGTGAAGCGGCATCCTTGGAGGATGTCTCGGTGCCGAAGCATCGCCTCTACACCGGCGAGCATTTCAATTTCGTGCACTGGGTAGTTTTGCTGAGCAGAATTCAGCTTCGCAGAGAAGAACGCCGCGACCTTGGCATCTTGCCAGTCGGCACCTTGGCAAACGACGCCAGCGATTCCCGAGCTACAGCCGTCGGTGACGAGGTACACGGGCGGCGTGTCGGGCCCATATTCGAGGGGTTTCCGACGGTGGTCGCGCCCAGAGCCAACGGCGCGTTTGATATCTTCAAACGCGTTTGGTGGTGTGTAGTCCCATCGAAACGGGACAGCGTCGCTCGTCAAGCCGTGCAAGACGCCCATTGGGATTCGCACTCGCGCGAGGTCGTCCGCGAGGTAGCCAACGGAGCCGAGGAACCCGCGCAGCAAGTCGCGGTTCGTCGGCGTCTTCCAATTCAAGACGGAATCCACCTTATCCGGGTCCATCCGGATGCCTTGGTCGTCGACAATACGACCAAGTACCTTCAATTCCGGCTTCAAGAGCTGGAGCTTGTTGGCGCTAAGGTAAAGTGACTCCCGTCTAAGCACATCTATCACCATTTTAACGTGCTTAATATGTTCCTCCAGGGTATTGGAGTAAATGATGATGTCGTCAAGATAGACGTCCATGAAGCGACCGATATAGTCGCCGAACAGGTAATTCATTAACGACTGGTAAGTCGGGGAGCGTTGCAATCTCCCTGCTGCAGCACGAGACTGACCATATTTCCATCAGGAGTGCTCACAGCAGTTCGCTCGACGTGCTCGGGCACAACACGTATCTGTTCGTGCAGCGTCTTGGCCATCAATTAGCGAAGCGGAACTTGCAGCGCAGACGCGCCGCAAAATACCATCCATATCGGGCAAAGGTGAAGTCATTTTCTTTGTGTTCGCATTCCGCGCTCTCAAGTCAACGACAACGCGCAGTTTCGGCGGGTTGGACTTCGCCTTCGGGATGAGCAGCATCGGGGCAGTGTTGCCCGAGTTGGTAACCTGCCAGCGGCCGGCCTTAAGGTACGCCGCTCGTTTCTCATCCCACTGGGGTCTTAGCGCTTCTGGACAGCGAAGGGTCGCCACGGGAGGACTTTGTCCGCATCAATAAGTGGAATCGTGTGATTTATTGCACGCAATGGAGGTAAGCCTGTCTCAGAGGCAATTTTACATATAGGCTGAGCGTATTCGAGCAGTTCTTCCCGCGCCGCCTGTAGTACATCGGCCCGAATGTCCGTCGCGTTGGCGAATATCTTCGCCGTGGCTACACCTTCTAGGGGTAGTGGGTCAGCGCTGCCCACGCAAACGCGAGACGGATTGAAGCCGATGCTCACCTTGTGCTGGAACAGCCACGAGGTTCCGAGTATCAAATCGTAGCCGCTTATGTTGGCGACGTAAAAGGTGCGTGGCGAATTTATGTCTTGGTACTTCAAGTTGGCGCTGACTGAGTGGTTTATTTTAGAGCGCGAACCTTGCACTGCTAACTGCAGTGTAATCGGCGATGTCAATTCGGTTCGTCGCAAGCGGAGTTGGTCCGCCACCGTCGTGGACATCAGGTCGCCGAGCGAGCCGGAGTCAACGAGCGCACGCACGGGTTCGCCATTCAGAAGTACCGAGATGACGAGCGGGGCGGCGACAACACGCTCGGGAACTCGCGGGCGTCGAAGCAGTTCGTGAAATGCCTTTCACGCTGCCTGGCGGGACTTGGACTCCACCAACGAAGAGCGACGCGCCCTCCGTTTCCTCGAATAGGGTTGCCAGGCTACCCGGGTAAGTCCCAAGCTCGTCACGTCGCTCCCTCTCGAGCAGACGCGCTTTTTCCTGCCGGCGCAGAACCCAGTTAACCAAATCTAGGTTTGGGTTCATCAGCTCGCGTGCCTGAGAGAACACTGCTCTCGCCGTCACCGGGGAAAGATATGTAGTACATGTCCGGCCCGTCTAGGTCGACTACATCATGAGGGAGACGTTCGACGCAGGCTAGCTCAAAAGCAGGTAATTCTCTGCTGATGTCTTCGAAGTACTGATTTAACGCGTCGCAAAGTAAATTCTCAATTGGCATGTCATGGGTGCCGACCAGGCCATGCCCGTCAAGGCCCAGCTGGTGGGCTCGCTGTCGCGCGTACCAATCGGCGAGCTGGAACTGCGGGTTGCGCAGGTAGTCGACTGGTAAGTCCGTTTCTAGATGGCCGCAAGCATCGAATATGGTATAACGCTCTTCAGATGCTCGCTGAATTTGGAAGCGCGGCACCAAGAACTGTAGTTCAAACCACTCGGACTGTTCGTCGCCCGGGTACGGCGCGAAGAACGACAGCAACCGCGCAACGGCGGTGCCCAAAACATCACCAAGGCGATGCTCTCGCCGAGCAATGGCGGCAGGTGGCAGTCGACAGCCAAACACGGTGGCTTGTCGCCACAGCTCTAGGCGCTCCGCGAAATGCGGGTTCAGCGCCCCGGAGTCCGGAACGGCTCGTTGCGGCAGGCGCGGTGTGTCCTGCTCATCCTCTGAGTCCGAGTAGATAGACTCGATTAACGGCGGCATGTCCGCGTATTCATCAAACTCGGACTCGATTTCTGAGTCGGAGCTTGACTCCCTCTCAGGTGCGTCATTCTCAAACAGCGAATCGTTGTTTAACGAGCGTTCGCTGTCAGATTCGGAGGGGAATTCGTATTCGTCGAGGACGAAACTCTGGTACCACTGTACCAGGTGGAAGTTAGATTCAAACAAGCGGGACACCGGCAGACCTTGGGTAAGTCCGTGCTTTACATCTGAGATGTAAATCTTCTCAGTTCCCGAATAGTCGATCGAGAAGCGCTCCCATTTCGGGACTGCGCTACCTTCGTCCCAGAAGGCTTCCTCGAGCGTAACTCGGACACAGCCAAGTAACGCGTCGCCAATG